GGCTCCTTGTTCAGCCGGAAGTCCCTCCACCCCATCTCCCTCCGCCCCTCCCCCCTGCACGTGTGCTCTCGCGAGCTCTCGCTCAGATAAATAAAACCTTTAAAAAAATAAAATGTTCTTTTAAGCAAGTGTTTATCATTCCTCTTAAAACTAGGGAAAGTACCGTTAAAAGAACTTATTTCCATGTAACTCCCTCCCACTTTTCCCACCAGATTAAGGAATGATGATGAGCTCTGGTTCAGTAGATAAAAGCCTGAAGAATCTCAAGAGGCAAAGAGAAATTGTTATATTATGTCACACTGAGAGCTCTTGAGTATTTAAGAAGATGTAGGACTCTTAGATAAGCAATTAGTGGGAGCCATCCCTCTGATGTGTAAGATAAATGTTACTGCTTTTCTAACTACAGACTAAGATGCACCAGTCATCCTTACATTCCTGAATTATAATGAAATGTGGGTCCCAACTAATCTTTGTTATACATTAAGGACAAAAACAAATGTCCCAGGGACAACAACTAGCCTGGCTTTATCCATCATGCAAAACCATTTAACCTTGTTAGCATTTAACCTCGCATATAAACATAACATTTCTTTTTTGTCTGTTCCCTCCTGAGAATGTAAACTCATTAAGGGCAGGGACTTTGATCCTATCTGCAGTACTCACAACTATGCCTGGCAGATAGTAGGTTTTCAATAAATACACATCAAATGAACAAACTTATTAGAGATCGGTTGGCCAAAATGGGGGGCCAATAGAAGTTTTCAACGGTGTCTATCTATTGTTGTTATACTAGGTAAGAATGAGTTCACGAAACGCTAATTTACCGCAGTTTTCAGATATCCAAAATGGATTGGAAATTTGGTGTTTTAATATGGCTCTGGTCCTTGTCAGCCTCTTCGTTTTCCTTTTCTTTCCTTCCTTCTTCCCCTCCCTCCCTCTTTCTTGCCCCTTCCTTCCTTCCTCCCCCCGCCTTCTCTTTCTGTCTTGTTTTAATTCCATCCCTGGCATCCAGGAGGTTCAATGGAATAATGATTAGGTGCCTGTGCTCCAAACCCAGCTCTGCTTCTTACTGTGTGTCTGAAATATCCACCTACCCTCTGGCCCCTCAGCATCCTCACATATGAACCGGGATTATAAGAATTCCCTCAGGATTATTTTGAGGATTAAAAGAGAGGTAATACATGAAAGCACGTAGAGCAAGACCTGGGATATGGCTAACAATAAATAGTACCTGTTATTATTATTATTGTGGCTGTCATTTGGATTTTTACTATTTCTGGGTTTTCTAATTTCTTTTTTACTTTTCCTGTACCTTTCCTTAACTTCAATCATTCTCAAATACTACATGGTATTTTTTTTGCCCTGTTTCTTGCCTTATTCCCAATTATTTAAAAAACCTGCTTCATGGGGCGCCTGGGTGGCTCAGTCGTTAAGCGTCTGCCTTCGGCTCAGGTCATGATCCCAGGGTCCTGGGTTTGAGCCCGCATCGGGCTCCCTGCTCGGCGGGAAGCCTGCTTCTCCCTCTTCCACTCCCCCGCTTGTGTTCCCTCTCTTGCTGTGTCTCTCTCTCTGTCAAATAAATAAATAAAATCTTTAAAAAAAAGAAAAAACCCTGCTTCATTATATCTATTCCGTTTGATCTTCTTTCATCCAGAGGCTTCTTACTCAGAGTTCTCTGACCACCTGAGGCAAATTGCACAAGTGGCTCTCTTGTCTGGGTAAAGTACAGATAGAGTAAAACTATCTGTAAAATGGGAAAATGCCAGCACCTGTCTCACAAAGTCCTGGAGAGCACTACATGAGGTACTTAATGTTAAAGACCATCAGTAGTGTCATGCATAGAATTACTCACTTGACGATAGTGAACATTTGTTTTACCCACAATGTCCTCTCCTCTTTTTGCTGGCTAACCCCTGGTTGATTTTTTTTTTTTTTTTGCAACTCTTAATAGTATATCAAAATTCTGTGTTACCATTATCTAGGACTGCTACTGAATATTCAGATACCAGAATTGTACTCATAAGACACAGGAGACTAATGTGGAATGACTTCCAAGGGCCAACAATGAGCTTGTACAGCCTGCTTCAATTCTCTCTAGCCCTCCTTATGTGGTTTAACTAAATCTCTTTAATGCTGGATATTTCTGTCTCTCCTTCTCAGAGAGAGAGAAGCAATTTTTTCTTTTTAGCAAAGAGAAAAAGTGAAATAAAACAGCTCCCTTTTCCCTCCTTTCCCCACTCCCTGTGGCCCTAAAGAAGAAGACTCTTACAGGTTTACACGTTACCCTCAAGACCTACCCAGTGCTTAGACGTTAACAGCTCACTTGGGGCACACCTCCCTTCCCAACCCTAGGAGAGCCAGTGGAGACCTGTTGAGCTTGAGAACCTCACCATGGCAAGATTTTAAGTTGCACGACAGATGCAACTTCACACAGTAAGTGCAGTCTACGGAAAGAAATCTGTGTGTGTATGTGTGTGTGTGTGTGTGTGTGTGTGTGTGAGAGTGAGAGAGGCAGAGAGAGAGAAACAGACAGACTGACCTGCTCTTACTCCTGCCCTCCCTCCGAGCTTCTCACAGCCACTCCACCTCCCTTCCCCACCTGTGCCATCAGGAAGAAGCTGTGCTTAGCTCTCTGTGGCTTGGCTCCTCCTAAGACTCAGAGCGAGAAGGGGTCTAACTATACTTGACTCAACTTGATTTTATGCAGACAAGGTTAGCAAATTAGAACACTCTTCTAGCTGGGTTTTGTTGAGTGGTAGAGTTGTCCTGAACCATGAGCACCTTCACCATCCAAAACGCAAACAAACACAGTCACAGCTGCTTTCTTTTCCAGAGGAAGAAAGGCTATCTCAGAAGACATTTCTCTTTTATGCAGACTGAACTCTGCTTCACTGAGTTGATTCCAGTCTCCAACAATACAAACGGAACTCTTAAGAAATATTCACACACGAAAGTATTCATCATTAACGCATTCATTTGTGAAACCAATGGTATACTAAGGCCAGACCACATGCCACAAAAAGACCTAGATTTGGTAATGGCTGTGTCAGTGGCAACACACAAATATACGTAGTCACCAAATTTTGTTTCATTCTCTAAGGCAGTGGTTCTCAACTGGGGTCGATTTTGGACACCAGGGCAATGTCTGCTGATGTTTTTAGTCGTCACAACTGGGGTAGGGGGACAACTGGAATCTGGTCGGTAGAGCCCAGGGATGCTGCTAAATATCCTTCAGTGCACTGAAGGGTACCAGACTATGTCCCCACAAAATCCACCGCTGTGACATAAGTATTATCTTGAGCTAAAGACAGAGGCAGAAAAAGCTCTTTACCTCCATGTAACTGCCTAAAAATAAAGTATAAATTTCCTCTTTTGCAAATGAAATTTACATTTATAAAGGAAATTTCCATTTGTAAAGAAGTCTCTGTACCAGGAGGAGAGCTACTCTGGGAGACAACTCTTATCATCTGAGCAACTCTTATCTGCATAACAAGACAACCCTATTACCATACATTTCCTTTCCTCACCTTCCTATAATTTGCCTCCCTTGCCAAGAAGCCCAAAACTCTTTTTTCTTTGTTTAGCCTAAGATGGTATATAAACCTCAATTATCTGACCACCTCCTTGAGTCTCATTCCTTTGTGAAACTCCTGTGTGGATGTATGTAATTAAATTGTTTTTTTTTTCTTGTTAATCTTTTATCAGTTTGATTTGTAAGCTGCAGCCATTGAACCTAGGAAGGTACAGGGAAAAAGATCTTTCCTCCCCACAGCACAGGACAGTCTCCCAAGACAATCACCAGGCCCCAAATGTAAATGGTGCCGACGTTGAGAGATCCTGCTCTATATGGACAGCTAGAAATCTAAAGCACAAAAAATCAGCTTGCTGTTTGGGAGCTTAGTAGCCTACGAGAAGCCCAACTAATTCTTGTCTCTGGCGTGTGTCTTGGACATATCACTGAGATCTTCCATGTTTCCAACTGTGCTTAATAAAGGGACTCTGCAGGGTCAAACAGATGGGTTTTATTCCTCGGCCAGTCTGCCGGTGACAGATTAGGAGTGCCCCACCATGCTGCGATGCTGGCAGGCAAGCGTCTCGGTGAAACAAAAAGTTCACCAAAGCACAAGGCTGAGGGACACCGGTGTTTTGAGTGTTAGGAAATTAGGGGAGGTAAAACCCCGAGTATTTGGCGCAGAGAGGTATTAGGTGGTCTGCAGGCTCAGATGAACGCCAACAGGCTGGATGAGCAGCCAGTACAGTTTACATGCAGATGGTCCTCCTGACCGCAGAGTGGGAAAGGAGATCTGCCGGGCTCCGGCTCCCGTTCCAGCTCTGCCCGGAGCCGGTGACGACAGGCGAGGATCGAACCTTCTCTGTGAAATCAGCGGCTCACCCGTGCTCTGTAGGATTCCCTCTAGCTCTGTCCTTCTCCATCCATGGTCTCCTCTCCAGGTGCTCTGGCACACAGGGACTAAGATCCTTCTGTAACAGGAGGCCGGCGAGGTCTATTTGTGGATAGGCAATAGTATTTGGTAAAGGAAATAAAGAACAAAAGGAACAAGTGCAGGTCTGCATACCCAGGAAAACCTTCAATTTGTTAATCATTCATTCAACACACATTTATTCACAGAGCATCTCTTCCGAATAAGGTATACAAAATTCTCTATTTTTCTTTCTAAAAATTTGTTTCCAGCAAACCGAATGGGAAGTTTGTTAAGTCTATCTGCCTGGATGTATAGCAGTTAACATTCAGTTCCACCAACGGAGTCCCTCACTCCATCCCCCAAAGGACAGACGGGACTCCAGGAGCGAATATCCTCCCAGGTGCTGCTGACACAGCACATATTTGAATATTCCTCTCTGTGGGAAACAGAGACATAACTTCTCTGCAACTACAACTTTCTTCACAGCCTTGGTTCTTCAAAGATTTGAAGTGAACTCTTCTCTTAGAGACAATATGCCAACAAGTCAACTCACAACTTCATGCAACGCTCTTATTCTGGAGCTCGGGTTCTTGTGTCTGTGACGGCTGCCCGCCATGCAGAACGCTGGCCTCCGGCCTTGGAGAGCTGTTTGCCAGGGAGGGTGCCTTGGCTCCAATGGTTACATCTTCAAAAAGGCCACCTGGAGAAGCAAAGAACACCCATGATGCTTCACTTATACAACATGATGAAACGGCTAAACGCACATCAAATCATAATCAGGTAAATCTGGTCAACAAGGATGCAAGCTGATCTAAGAAAGAAAAATGACTCTTCGTCGGGGCAGACATTGCCATTTTACAGCAGGAGCCAATTACTCCTTTTTTAATGAACCATGTAGTAATTAACATGATTCACATGCCCTTTAAAGAAAATAAATAAATAAAAGTTTTAATTGACACTCAGGTTGCACTGCCCTGAAGTGACCCAGTCCTCTTTCCCGTTGGTTCCAACTACTGTTTTGGGCCTTCCTTGAGCTGAATTTCGAGTCCTGAAGATTCCCGGGCAAGTCCAGTTCCTCATGGCTAGCCTCTCCTCAGGTCATGCCAGTGCTTTTCATCACATTCAGTTATATTTATTGTGCTTGTCAGTAGCAACTGATCTTAAAACTTAGTGTGTAAAATAATTCAGACAGGCCTACCTACAAATTGAATGAGGCCCAGATCAAATGCATCTATTTTCCCAATAGTTTTAAACCACAGAGAAAGAAACAATAAAGCTAATCATAGAAGTTTAGAAAGTTTTAGTTCAGAGGTGATAATAAATTGGGAAGTGTGCCTGTATCAGGAAGAGAGCAGACTGCAGATTAGTGACAAAGATGGGGAAGTGTGGGAGGACTGGCAAGCTCATGCTTGGCCTTGTTGTGGGCGGGGGGGCCGGGGAGGGGAGAGTGAGCAACAGAAATAAATACATTCTACTCTTGGACAGCTGGTTCTTAAGTCCCCAAATGCAGTCAAAGGAGGCATGTATTTAATGATCCCTGTTAAGGGGAAAGGAAAAAGGAAGAGTCATGCAGGGCAGAAAGCATCTGCTTTATGTTGAGTAATTCAGAAGGATGTTACTCTTCATACAGTGCTGGTGAGAAAGGCACCTGCTGAGTTTCCATATCAGCTTCCTGCTGAATTTTCTATATCAGGTTCTGCAATGAGAACACCAAAGTTGAAGGAGCAGGCAAGGAAGAAAGGTTAAGATTCCTAAACAAAATGTAAACGCAGACAACAGATACAAACTTCAAGGGCTTACTGTGAAGATTAAATGGGATCATGGTTATGAAGATACATGTGTTTCTCTTCCATGCCTCTTGGCTGATATCAGGAGCCCATGCACCTACCAGACGAGAAGGGGCAGTTCAAGAGACAGCAGTGGGGACCCTGAGGGGATGGTCACAGAATTACGGGGGAAGGTTGTTCAGTCTGACTTCAGGCTCACTGTGGATAGTGTCTCCGTCAGGTGACCCTGCCTCTGTAAGAACAGTTCATGGGGACCTTCCAAAGAAGACAATGCCACTATTCATATTCAGAAACAGGGAAACCATGGATAAAAACCAGTTATCTCCTTTTTAATTCTGAAAATTGCTATGTCATGGAGTATTCCGACCAGAAACCACTCAGAATAATAATAATACTGATAAATGTCATCATACAAGTGGTTAATAACTTTAGCTCTGGAATCACACAGACCAGTGGTTCTCAACTTGGGGTGATTTTGCCCGCCAGGGGACATGGGGCAGTGTCTGTGGACATTTTTAGTTATCATAAATTGGGGAATGCTGTTGGCATCTAGGGGATAGAAGCCAAGGGTGTTGCTAAACATGTTATGATGCACAGGACAGCCCCCCGACCCCCAGGAAAGAATTACTGGTCCTAAAATGTCAATAGTACTGATGCTGAAAAATACCGACATTATGGACACAGGATCTTAAAACTAGATCTCTATTCGCCAGCCATGTGACCTTCAACAAACTGGTCAGCAGCCTCTCTCAGCCCTTCCTCATCAGCAAAATGGGAATTATAACAGGACCTAGCCGACACTTGTAAAACACTTCATAGCATAGGAAGCCTCTTTGGACTGCTTTGGACTCACCACAAACCTGTGATTTACATAAAGCAAATGAAGAAACAGAAGCTCAGAAAAATTAACTGACTTGCTCTGGAGACAGAGCTATTACGTGGCAATAATGGACTGAGGAAGAAATTTTGATTCTCAATACATGCCTTTCCCACTAGAAGTTTTCAGACGAATGAGGTAAACTGCAGAGGTCTGGGGACTTTTAATCTTCATTATTGCCTCAAATATCAAAGATTTATCTTCTTTTGCATGCCTATGAATATGAACTTGGGATGGAACAGCTGCATAAGAGACTGAACTGATTAAATAATGCAAAATGGCGCCGTACACCCCCCCCCAAGAGAAGAAAAACTTTAAAATTTGACCTAATATGTCTTTTTTTCATCTCTGGTTTTCATAGTTCTGCCTGCCAAGTACATAATGTATTTTACAGGACTTAATAACAAGAAACTGCAATCATCCTTGGGAACAGGTACTATACAATGCATTTTAGCTTCTTTTTATTTAAAACACTGTGAGTTAATATATTTCAAATGCTGATTTTGTGTTCTCTAGCTTTTATCCATGACAGCAAAAATTGCTTTCCCTAACTGCCATTTATTTTGAGGATAATTTTGTTTCATTACACTGGGAAAACTCCTTGTTATTTCATCTTTTTAGCTTTATTCTGGAAAGTAAAGCTACAGCTTACATTTCTGGAACATATAGTTACAGAAGTATATATTATTATTAGAAACAAGGCAAAGAGGGACTCTTCCCTGTTGGCTATAAGGTTTGAGTCTCCGTATTCTGTGCACCTGAATTTGGACAGTTGGGAATAGGAAGAGGGAGAGGAAGTTAAGATGTCTAAAAATAATGTCTCTGCTTTGAGTCATCACCTAAAAACAATCTTCTTCAACCACAACAAACAGGGCTAGGCTGATGTGATAGCCGACCAGATGTTAAGTTTAAAATGCTTCAATACATTTACGTAATATGTTAAAACACTTTTTAGTGTTCTTTTATCTTAGTTAACACATTCATAAAGCTACAGCTTACATTTCTGGAACATATAGTTACAGAAGTATATATTATTATTAGAAACAAGGCAAAGAGGGACTCTTCCCTATTGGCTATAAGGTTTGAGTCTCCGTATTCTGTGCACCTGAATTTGGACAGTTGGGAATAGGAAGAGGGAGAGGAAGTTAAGATGTCTAAAAATAATGTCTCTGCTTTGAGTCATCACCTAAAAACAATCTTCTTCAACCACAACAAACAGGGCTAGGCTGATGTGATAGCCGACCAGATGTTAAGTTTAAAATGCTTCAATACATTTACGTAATATGTTAAAACACTTTTTAGTGTTCTTTTATCTTAGTTAACACATTCATATTACTAAATTCAATTCTTCAACATAGATTTGAACTTTCAATCAGTAAAAAAATATGCCGTCAAGGCAGGCTGCACAAGATAACATTAGCATTAAAAGAAAAGGCTATTTAAGTGCTTTGGGGTGTGTTAACAAGACAGATAAAACTGGAAAATACTCGAAAATGTGAACTTTGTAATACTTGTAAGCTTTAGAAAAGACTCTTTAATTTTAAATTTTTAAAAGACTCTTTAATAAGCACAGCCATACCCAAATGTTCCTTTTAAAGGGTACTGTAGACTTAAAAAAATAAATATATAAAACCATGCCTTCAATATGTATTTTTGTGTAGGTATGGCTCATGTTCAAAGTTAGGTTCTGAAACAGAATGCTTTAATGGCATGGAAAAAGAGAGTTTATACTTTATATTATACAACAGTTTCTAAAATCAAACCTCATTGACAAAATAAAAAATATAAATGTAAATATACAAATATCAGAAAATGACTCTTTCAAGCATCGTCAAATCATAAGATGAAGCAATTTTTGCTAACTCACGAATACAGCATGGGTCCGGCCCATGCTGGTAATACCTGGCCTCCACTTTTCGAGTGGGACAGATAGTAGAAGGTATTCCTTCCTGTGGGCTGGCAGGCTGGCTTCATTCATTCAACTCATTGAGCCATGAAGTGTTGTCTAGGTGCCAGTGACCGTGCCAGTCCCAGAGCACACACAGGAGGTGTCCTCTTAGGGTGCTAACATGACAGCGGGGGAGACAGCCCAGGAACGAGATGATTCTAATAAGGTGGGATAAGTTTAAGATGGATGCCAAATGCCTGCCGGGAGAAAACAACTATTCTTGGGTTATGAAAGGAAGTACATTTCTGAGGCAGTACCTTGAGAGAGATCGTCCTTACTCTGATTATGAACACTGTGCTGATGGGGTGGCAAAAAGCTGGCCTGGAACAGTGTGGCAAACACTTTTTCCTCCTGAAAGATGGTGGCTTGCTGAAGGATTAGCAAACAGGAGGGATGGAACAAAAGACCAGAGAAACAATACAATGAGGAAGAAGAGCCTGTCCCTCTAAAATGACAGCAGTTAAGTACTTAACTGTGGACCGAAACTCTAGACTAAGGGAACATCAGTTCAGCCTTCCAACTCCACACCGCACAAAATCTGTAAGAGCTTTCAGAAAGTAGGAAAAAGGGGTGCCTGGGTGGCTCAGGTCATGACGCCAGGGTCCTGGGATCGAACCCCGCATGAGGCTCCCTGCTCAGTGAGAAGCCTGCTTCTCCCTCTCGCCCTGCTTGTGTTCCCTCTCTCGCTGTCTCTCTGTCAAATAAATAAATAAAATCTTAAAAAAAAAAAAAAAAGAAAGTAGGAAAATGTAGTAAGATGGACATCTGGGAGTTATTTGAAACCTTGACCTTGTATTTTCTCTAAGCCACGGATGCACTGTGATAACTTCCATATACATAAAAAGCCTGCCGATTTTCATCGACGTGGGATGCAGGTAAGCTAGCACGGCTGTTTTGCAGTGGACATCTAGGTGGAAAGCCAGCAGTATGTCGAGTATCAGAAGAGAGGTTATGTGTAGGGGAGAGAGGAAGACTGATGCCCCTTCATCTCTAGATAGGGCTGCAAACGTGGGCTGATTCAACAGTTACCGGATCTTGATCCTATTCACCAAAGCAAGTAGGTTCCAGACATGAAATTCTCATCAGTT